TCCGCAAATGACCTAAGTAATGAAGTTTCGGGCTGATGAAAACACACATGTCAGCACCCTAACAGCTCACGAGGTGACGCACTCATATCGCTCAGTAGAAGAGACCTGAACGAAAATCACCTACTTATTCATTCACATTTCACCGGTAACCGATCCGAATATCGCGACGCCAATAAATTAGCATACGCTTAGAAAAAACAACCGGTCACTCGCACAAAGAACAGAGAAGAGTAAAGCTGGGTCGGAGTATCTTGAAGAGTAAACGCGCCCAATAAACCTACACTGACCCTTTGCAAAACAGAGTATCTCTGCTGATTGGGAATAGTTATCTTTAAGTGTGGAGACGATATTTTCCAGTAGAGCGAATAAAAATGGGACCATGGGATTCTGTCGATTTGTCAGAGGGACCGGCTAGTGAGGAGCTGTCTTTCAGGATGCTGTAATGTACAGCGAAATGTGTAATGACCGGGTAAAAAGGCAGAAAAATGTTACCTACCTGTTTGACCAGATCCCCGAGCTCTTCAGAACACTCCAACTTGTCCTCTTTCAGCCATTTTTCAAGTAGCTGCTTCCTCCCTTGTTGCAAGACTGGACGACAGAGTTCCAAGCTCTCGACTTTGTTCAACTGACCCTGGTCTAACAGAATGCCAAAATAGTGCAGCAGAGCTGAGGTTTGGCCAGGAGTCGTCGCCACCTGTAAGAATGAAAGAGGATTGCATAGTTAAATTCATCGATGAACTAGAGAGGTGGGATAGGTAGCTCGCCACCTGTAAGAATGAAAGAGGATTGCGTAGTTAAATTCATCGATGATTTGGAGAGGTGGGATAGGTAGCTGCGCACTTGAGGCGGGAGCTGACATAACTGATGCCTAAATCCAGGGTTGTCAGTCGACTATTAAGTGGGGAGATTTGGAAGGGAGCTATGCATTCAAGGCAATAGCTTGGGTGCATGAGCGCCACCCATTACCACGCATTACCACGGCGTCAGATCCAAGAAGGGCTATGTCATCTGCGTACTCGATACCTGTGAGTACACGCCCCGGGAGCACTTCGACCCCACAGGCATTAGGGGCTAATAAAGTCATCCACAATCGTATCAATGACGAAGTTGGAAAGGTGAAAGGGGAACACTTGATTCGACTGAACTCAGGCGAGAGCTCCATAGACACTGCCATAGTGCCTGACGGTCCACGGAGTTAAAGACAGTCAAAGAAAACAATCGCTGTGGGCTGTTGGAGGCAGTCGCTGTTCCAGAATCTGTCGGAGGGTGAAGATTTGATCGATGCACGAAACCCAGCTTGGTTTTCACAGACCTGTCTCTCCCCGTGTTCAGTCAACCTTCAAAGGATAAAATCAGAGAACACCTTCGATGACACTAGTTGCCACCTGACAGGCTATTATTATAAACAGCGCGTTTAGCTAATGATAATAACTAATCTTTACGCAGCAGTACCCTCTACCTATATTGCTGCCGTACATCTCGAAGGAAGGAGGAGTGCCCAGGCTGTCCAAGACTAAACAAGAGCAATCGAAAAGCCAAGACTGGGTTCGAAACACGGATCGTCACACCGTAACCACTGAGCTACCTCGAGACCAAGGCTAACAAGGCCGACATTGATCGCGGATGGGAGAACCTTATCGTCGAATAGGCTACCGATGTCATTTCAGTTCTAGTCTGTGAAGAGAATCCGATTGCAGTTCGGTATGCTTAGCCACAACCGGACAGGTGTCGAGCACAAACACGATGAACTATTGTCACGACTATCTCCACCGACAGAAGATAAGAAGTCAAACATCATTGCAAACCTTTCCAAAAGACTCAAAATTTCACTAAGCTTGATAGTAAACTGGTGATGCGAACTCGTACGGTAACGCTTTCTAAAGGTGTATCGCTCTGGCTAGGAATCATCAGCTGCGGAACGTCAATGCACGAACTCGCGACAATGAGCATCAGTTAGCTGTAAACCATGTAAACCACCACCTCGGCAATATACAATGATGAGGAATAAAATGGAAGTTCTGATGATAAGTACAAGATCCACGATGACCTGTGTAGACGAACGTGACACTGTGAACGATGAAAACCATAGTAAAACTCAAAAGCGAGATGACAGGGGAAGTAGGGAGCACTTTTGTGAAGTAACGAAAATGAGCTACGCGAGCAATCAACGTAGCAGAAACAATTGAAAAGCGTCAAACGTACCTGTTGGAATCGCTGGATAGTTTGTGGGGTACGCAAGATGCCTTTGGGTGCATTTGCAGCTACCTTTGCAGCCTCGTTGTACTGACCGGCTTGGAAAAGCGCCTCGAACTTGCGGACGAACAAATCTTCTGCCCCAGGCAGGTTACATCTCGCCGCCATACGCAAAGCCAAGGCGGAATTATCCAGTGTTGTAGTAATATAGTTAACAACAGTATCTTCATCAATCGTCACCGAAAGAACCTGGGGAACAAAAAACAGTAAATTTATCTGTGATGTAAACCGTTTTAACAGTTGCGGCGGTTGAAACGTGGAAATCAAACGCAAACTGCCATCTAAATTCACCGCAAATGGACCAGCGCAAGCCTACAGGGAAAAGCGGTGCGGGAGCCAACTAGGTACGACACAGACTACAACCTTTGTGGTTTTAACACAGGACTATGCAGCTGCAATAGAGTCTGTTGGTTATTTTAAACGGCCGTGGCCGAGCAATCGAAGTAGGGTTCTCATCCTACCGCGAAGGCGCTCAGCAGAATTCACTTCTTAATCAAACGATCCTTCGGATAATCCGGTCGATAAAATCGTAAAAGCCCAATTAAACTGGAAGTCGAATGAATCTAATATTTTGTTTCTTCAAACCATAGTGATTTTTACCCACCCCAATGCTGATCAGCACTACGCTCGATGTGTTTAAACATACTACCTAAGTAGGTACACTGCATACTACTCAAATGCAGAGAACTACAGAGAACACTCATACGAAACCTGTCATGCAGAAAGACAAGACACTAACGGAAGAGTACCCGCGCTTTAAGTATTCTTCAAAAAAGATGAGGACATCACGTGAAAACCATCGTCACATCAGGCTGTTAGCTGTGTCGTCCAGATTGATGACATTATTTTGCGTGGCATCATCATCATTATCATCGACAGCATGACATCAGTGTTCAACACCGATGCTTCACTGCCGTATTTTGCGTGGATTGACTATCGGTAGGAACAGACCAATGAGGACCAAGCTGGGTTTCGCTCCAGGCCAGTGTATTGACCACACCTAAACTTTACGACGGGTACCTAAGACTATGGTAGGTGACGATGACCGAAATGGTAGCTTCCTTGACCTGAAGAGGGCCTTGGGTTCCACCGCTAAATCCTACGGTGATTCACTTATTTAGGTCTCGCTTAAGAGCACTATAAACCAACTATAGTGGACGTGTTTGCTACATGTTCGCGCTCTAGTTCAAGACATCTACCGTCACCCAGCAAGGCTGCTCTTTGCCATTTCTCCGTTTCAACTTCGTTATCAACATAACTCACGAATCCTCCTTACCAGTCTCTAACACCTCTGAGGGTAAAACGCTCCTGGAACGCTCGCTCAGCCGCTGATAACATCGATCTTCTTTGACCACATCCCTCAGAAATTTATACCACTTTAACCGAACAGGCGGAAACGACATAAGGGTAGCCTATGGGTCGGCAACGGAGTCGCGAAGTCCTAGGAGTGAAGTCAGCTAGGTTGATACTTGTTATTTTTCCGGTAGAAAATTCGGGACAGAACACGAACGGCTAGTGATACTGAAAGATATAGCCTAATGATACCGTACTAGCTCGCCCCCCTCCAATGCAGGGGGTGGAACCAAAACGATCACATCCGCGACATCTGACTACTCGGTAAGCTCAGGCCACGCTCTCGACCTAACGCTGCGAACATTCTGACGTGGTGATCAGAACTGAGTGCTTCAATGATCCCGCGGACAATGGTCGGGACTTCATTCCATAAGGCGCAACCATACCAGGAAAGCCAAAGGGGAACAATCAGGCCAGCGAGACCCCATATTACTAACTGTATTATAGGGCGGTCAGGAGATAAAGCCGTATTGTCGTCTGCGATGGCGGGTGTTTAGTCCAGGAGAACGGCAAGTACTTATTTATGGAAACCTCGGCAAAGGGCAGATTAGAGAGGGTCGGTCATAAAAACCGAACACTCCGATTGCCAAAAGGTTGACGATGACCGACAATGGGTTACTCATGTGCTCGATGCGGCTCCAGACGCATACGTTGTGTGCGGCAGCAGCAACAGCAAGACACCCGTTCTATTCCCTGAACCCTCGTTTGAGCCCAACCACATGCAGTCGAGTAGGTCCGACTTTTTGGTTATCGGCTTATGGGAAGGTCCTCAAAGAAAACCATATCACCTGGCGATTGTGGTAACTACAGCGGGATCAGCTTGACCCCGGTTGTAACGAGACTGTTGGCGTCAATTGTGCTTCGTCGCCTTACGGTGGCTCGTGAGATACTGACCCGAGAGCAGCAAGCGGGATTCCGGCCTGGTAGGGGTTGTGTTGACCAAATTTTCACACTGCGTCAGGTGCTAGAACAACGCCATACGTATAAGCGACCCACAATTCTAGTATTCCAGGATTTCCGAGGCGCATTCAACTCGGTTGATCGGTCTGTT